GCAGTTATGGGCTCCCAACCCCTGAGACCCTGTGCCTAGGGCCGCCTGGGCGGTTTGCTTCGGTGGCAGGCACGTCTTCGGACCCTTCCCAACCGTCACTCGGACACACGAACCGGAGGGGGCCCGGTCCCACACTGGGTACTCCTAGGATACGCGAGCCAGGGAGGGGGCTCGGTCCCACACTGGGTGCCCCTAATTTCCTCGCTGAGCCTGTGCTCCTAACTCCTACGCATTCCTCGGCGGGACTCTTGCACAGACAAGCCCTCTGCTCACACAGGCCCAGACGCCCCCACAGCCACACTCCACCCCAGGTGTTCCGTTATCCCTCTCCGAACCCCGCCCACGCCATCATTCACACTCCACCGTTTTACTTTGAGCACCCCCTCACACGCGCACTTCTAATACAGCCTTCTTCCTTTCCACCCCTCCTTTTCCCTTCAAGAAGACCTTCCGCCACCTACTCTGGTGGGATACCTCAGACTTAATTGTTCTGGAACCCGGGCGCTTGTTTTCTCTCCACCCTTCACAGACAGGCATACACACTACAAACAACATTCCTCCCAACCCCCCCCCCCGCCCCCAACTTTCCAACTTTGCCTTGAAGGCCATTTGCTTAGGGAACAGTCCCGAGGCCTCTAGGAAAAACTGAAACACAGCTGGAGACCGGAGAAGGGAGAGCCGGGAGAAGACTCCCATCCTGAACATCCCATTGTCCGAGGCAGCATCTCACTGTCCCAACCCAAGATGATAACCATTAGGGCTAGAAGCCTCGCTGAGTCCATATCCTCCGTTGGCTAGGGGAGTTGAGGGAGCGGCCATCACGTGCCTCTAGGGGTTGGCCAGGATTCATTCCTTCTTTTAAGATGGCAGCAAAGAGAAGAGGGTTTATTCTCTGTCCCTACTGTAGGGTGACCCAGAGGCTGGGGAGGGTCCTGAGGAGAGATAATTCCATCCAGGCTACTTGTCTCACCCTGCCTTCCCAAGGAGGCGGTCCCCAAAAGAAGCCATTAGAACTAATTAACAATTACCACTACTATACTACTACACCTCACAGGGGAAAGGTGCAGCCATTCTCCCTAGAGAGACACTGGGCCCTGAGGAGTTGGCTGACTCTCCTAAGGACAGTGGGCTCTTCCAAGCTGCCCTGGTGGGGTGTATCCAGCCTCCCAACTCTCAGAAATGACACATCTCCCTACTAGTACTAAGTAAACAGGGCAGGAAGTCGCGTTTGGGTGGTATTTTTCTGGGCACTAGCCCACGGCAGCTGGAGAGCCATCTCATGTCTGTCCACAACCCTAGATTCCCGCCCTCTGTTTTGACTGTCTGTGCCTCCTGTCTTTGCCTCCCTTCTTCCTTAGCTCCTGCCTTTCACCCACCTTCCTTTCCTAGCTCTGAATCATAGCTGTCAGACCTGCTAGCATGGCCAGGCTGCGAGCCAGGGGCCTGCCCTTGTGTACAAAGGAGGCTGGGAGCTGGAGAAAGGAGGGAAGTGGTGAGGGTCCTGGCCAGACTGAGGAAGGCTGGTTCCTTTCCTCACGCCCACTGGGACCTGACCATCTATGCAGATGGCCACAGCCAGGCCTGTTATTATTGGAGAATAGCCCATCTGGCAAGCTCCCTGCCTGGGTTCCAGCCAGCACCCACACCCCAGGCAGCCTCAGCTGGTCACTGGTGCCAGGGCCCTCTGCTGGACAGCCCTGGGGACCCAGCTCATACAGGCCTGGGCCTGGACAGGTTCTTAGGCAGGTCTACCAGGCCTTTCCACCTTCCTCATTCCATGTTTCTCTCCTCTGTCCCTAAGGTTGGGATGTGAAGGTTGGTCCACCTGGCCAGATGTTCTCCGCCCAGGCTGGAACAGGCTCATCTCCACCTCCCCCATTAGAAGGTAGGTTTACCTCACATTATGCTCACAGCCCTAGATCCCTCCAGGCCTGTGTTAGCACCAGCCATCTGTGTTTGCAGCAACAGTGTTTGCCTGGCCTGGGAGTTGTGACAAGCCATGGCTCAAGTTTTCTGTTGTTTGAGATTAAATCTCTGTGGCTTTGTGGCAGAAAGGAAATTAGGGGAAGCCCAGCAAAACACTTGCTCAGCCTGCTAAAATTAGGGGATACTGAAAGATTTAACAACGCAGAGGGAATTTAAGGAAATGTGGATTTTGTTGTTTTGTGATGGTGTGTGTGGGGGGTCAAGTTCAGGACCTGAAACATGCTAGTGACAGGCTCAGCCATGAGCTAGCTCCTTGGTCCTAATGCCACTGTTAACATGCTAGGGACACAGCGAAGAGACAGCTCGGGGTAGAGTGCCCGACCGCTCCGCCCAAGGACCCGAGTTCGATTCCCGGCTCAGCGCAAGTAGTTCCGTATACCGTCTGTCAGCGTCCCCCGCGGGACTGCAGAACGACACACAATCTTTATCCACCGTAGATCCGCCTAGAGTAGTAGGCAAAAAAGAAAAAAAACAAACATGCTAGGGACAGGGGCTGGCAAGATGGCTCAGAGGTTAAGAGTACTCTGACTCTTAACTGCTCTTCCGGAGTTCCTGAGTTCAATTCCCAGTAACAACATGCTAGGGACAGGCTCAGCCACGGAGCCAGCTCCTCAGTCCTAATGCCACTGTTAACATGCTAGGGACAGGCTCAGCCACGGAGCCAGCTCCTCGGTCCTATTGCCACTGTTAAATGAAAGAAAACTAAGTTAGTGGAAAGACTCCATAATGAATGCAATGTCAAAATCCGCAGTGTGTGGTCAGAGAACAGCTCGGGCTGCTGCTCCTCAGGGACCATCCACATTGCTCTGTTTTTCATGCATTTGTCTGTACACCATACATGGGTGCACGCGCATGCGGAGGGAGGTGTGAAGGCTTTGGATCTCTGGGAACCGGAGGCACAGGCAGTGTGAGCTCCCTGATATGGGTGCTGGGAACTAAACCCAGGTCCTCTACAGGAACAGTAATCACTGAGCTATTTCTCCAGCCACCGTGTGTGTGTGTGTGTGTGTGTGTGTGTGTGTGTGTGTTTAGACAGGTTCTCGCTAAGTACCTCGGGGTGGCCTGGCACTCAGAGATCTGTCTGCTTCTGCTTTACGAGTGCTGGGGTTAAAGGCCTGCACCACCAGGCAGGCCCACCTTGTATTTGACATAGGATTTCTAATCATCAGTCCTCTTATTTGTTTCCCCAGTGCTGGGGTTACAAGTGGCATCACAGCTTTGAAAAACACAGCTGGGTGGTGGTGGCGCAACCATTTAATCCCAGCACTCCAGAGGTGGAGGCAGGCAGATCTCTGTGAGTTCAAGGCCAGTCTGGTTTACAGGAGCTAGTTCCAGGACAGGCATCAAAGCTACAGAGAAACCCTGTCTCGGAAAACCAAAAAAGAAAAAAAAAATACATTTTTTTGTTTAACTTAAGTTTTGAGGATTGAGCCGATTGAGCAAGCTTACCCATGCCCAATATCGACTTTTCAAATGAAGGCAGAGGTGTGTGCATGGGGTGAATACTAGGTCAGGGTTGAAGAAGTGACTTTGTTCCTTTGCTCTGAGCCCGGGCTTCTAGCCAAATTTCTCAGATGTGTCTCCTAACCCTCTAGGTTGCCAGGTAGGCAGGGGACAATTTTAAGTGGTCTGAACCTTAAACAGTCATCCAATTGTGGGCCTACAAATTCCCAGAAAAACATATCCTTCCTGAAGAGGCGGTAGATTTGGATTCTGCTGAACTACATCCTCCTCAAAGGGCCCGCTGGCCGCGACACCGCAGAACCCTGCAGTCCCGGTCAGTGCCCCTCCTCCCGCGCCCCGCCCCATGCACCTGCTGGAGACCGTCCTCCGGATCTGGCAGGGAGATCCGGGAGGGGGAGAACGAAAATTCCCAGGCTGTGGGGACCCCAGCCTCCTCCCGACCTCCTCACCTCGGGGTGGTGGCCGTGCCAAGGCCGGAACTGGCCGGCTGGCCTCAGAGGAGCGGTCACCGAGATAGCCGGACAGCCTCACGCTCCGCCTGCCCCGCTGGTGCAGGTCGAGGTGTGGAGATCCGAGGACACCAGGTGGCTCGGAGGAGGCCCAGTGGGAGGGGCCGTGGCTGAGAAGGGACGTCTTAGGGAAGCTGGGACTACCTTTAATCCGCTTGTCCCCACAGGTCTCATGTGCTCTAGTTTCTGCGGACTTTTGTAGGAAGTATCTGGAGGAGAGAAAAGTTCTGCAGGGTCTGGCAGGTGGGGTGGGAGCGGGAAGTTGGAGCTCAGCTTGGATGTCATCCCTTTCCCAGTTTCTATAGGAACCTGTAGGGGGATCCCCAACTTGATTGGGGATCGCGACAGAGGCCTGCATTCCTCACTATCTACATTTTAACCTACAGCCCAAGACATTCCTGAAAGAATTATTGTGTGGGAATCATAATCAAATTATCCAGAGGATCTTACTACACATGCCCATCCATGTATGCACTCACACACACACACACACACACACACACACACACACACACACACACAC